CGCATCACTAAGAAGGAAAAGCAAGCCAAAGTCGAAACGGGGTGCATTGTGGATATGACACAACACATGCTGCGACAACTGAGTGATCAGCGACATCATTTTGGGACGCAATTGAACTTCAAGTACTTTTTTGCGAAATTTGTTGCGCGGCGATGCTGACATCAAGTGTGTGTTGACCGAAGTTTGACCCCAAGTCACGCACTGAACTGGCGCGTTACCTTAGCAACCTTTTTTTCTTTCGTGTCCCGCGCGTCAAACTAGTAAAATTGTTATTATATCCGACGGTACTGTAATTACGCAACTTGTATGCAACTCTGCACTGGCTTGAATATATCAACTTGAACGTCGTTTACTTAGTGCACTGCTTTTCTAATTACGCAAATTTGTTTACAATATTGTACCGGCTCTGTACTTCGTTATGTATTGCTTTCATGATAATTAGTTTTTTTTTTAACTATTGTTAGGACACTGACCCGGGGTATTGGGTCTGTGAATATTTCAATATCACCGACTTGATAATGCGTTGCATTCATAATAATTACGTCAAATTAAATTTTACTATAATATAATAAACTCTGGGCAGTGGACTTCGATCGCATTATTCACGTACATTTTGACTGAACTCTAATAACCACGCGTTTGGTTCATGCACTGATATTTAAATTCGGGCCACCCAGCTTGACGCAAATCAATATAGTTATTGTCATTTGTTCGAAAAATCTTTTTACTCTCACAAATACCATGGACACAAAGAGTTAACTAGGGGTTAAATGAAAGGGAACGTCTTTCTTGGACAAAAAACATATCAGTACAAGATTATGTGTGCAAGGTTAGATTTATAGAAGGTACATGACCACTTAACTCTGTGTTTTTTACCGAATCCGGTATAATGAAAATTTAACACGAGGTCATCGCCCGACCAAATCAAAAATGTCAATTTACGCACCATAGGGCGGTTCACTTAAATGACGTAAAGAATAATGGCGGGCACATGGTCGATGCAACCCTGTGGACCAGCCCTATACTAAGCTTTCCATCACGGAAATTCTTAATTGATGTGTGACCGAATTGATATTTATCGACTAAGTAATAATCTTGCCCAACATCTGTAGTGTCGTGGGGGAATGATTTTTTTCTTGTCAAATCTTTACCGAACCTAAACTGCTTGCTAACTGAAAGGCTGTGATGACGGAGATCATCTGCGATTGGGGCGACACCGAGTACTGATAACATAACATTATATGTATATTTTTAATGTCTTCATGCAATATATTCTGAGTTATCCACTTTATTCTGGCCCGCGAATTAATAGGATACAATTTTAAACATGTTTTTGAACGCCGCGAATTAAAAGGATACATTTAAAAATTAGCGTTCGAAAATAAAATGGGTGCGCGAAATAATAGAAGACCGCGAATTAATCGAGTTTTTACGGTAGTTAAATGTATATTGGTCTGGATATTATAAAAATTTCCCACCTTCTTTGTCTTCTGTATGGATGTTTTGTTGTCTCTTCATCTACGTTATCTTGTACATGTGATCTGACATTCCCATGATCTCTGCCCATTACATCATCCGAGTCTAAATCCATCACTTCGTGGATGCCAAACTCTCTCTTCTGACTTTCCCAATCTGGTTTTGCAGGTGCCTGCTTCTCCACTTTAAGTCCAGACATCAAATCACTGAAATCATCATTATCACAATCAATTCAAATCAGTGACATCACCATTATCACAATCAAATCAATGAAATCATCATTATCACAACCAATTTCAGTTGCCATGCTGTATACTTGAGTTGCCACTACTGTTGCAATTCACTATCCGCTTCAGATCAGTAAATATTTTATACTTGTTTGATAGATACACATAGTATATGCTTTGCATCATAAATAGAAAATACAAAAAAATGTAATTTGGATTTCAGTATTAATCCATATTGAAACAAACCTGATTTGTGTTTTCTCTCCTCGTTGTCCGGCCTCTGTTGCATCTTCATGTCTTTGCAACTGTTTTAAAAGATCAGACTTTGTTTTTCTTGCATCACCTGGCAGGGATTCTGCTACTGACTGGGCAGCATTAAGTAACGCGGGTTCTACTACTATTTCTGGCCTAAGAAACAATAATTAAGTGTTTCAATGATAATTTTAGCAAATTAGAGATAAATACTTGCTATTATGATGTCCATGAGTAAACTTAAATCCCATAGACAACCTGAAGGTCCCAAATTAATTAATTAATGATTAATTAATGAATAGCTTTGTACCATGTTTTAGTAAGAGCTTGAGATCAAACAATCAAATCAAATCAAATCAAATCAAACACAATCTTCTAACCACTGTACTTTGTTCAGGAGCGTAATTTGTTGATATTTTTGAACCAATTGGACATAATTTCCTATTGACTACAGGTCTTAATAGGCATTTTACTTACGGTACTAGCCAATTTTTGCTAAAATAGTTCTCGACCACTTTTTCACACTACCAATAGTGTTTATACATGGCACCTAGGTTATTTTTAACCAATTTTACAATGTTCAGCAAAGAGGTAACCTTGTTTTTGTATTTTTTTGGCAAATTTATAAAATTACAAAAAAATATTCTTACAGTTCATCTTTATCATTGATTTCTTGTTTTGCTTCCAAGAACATCCTTTTCAAGCTTACTTTGTCTTTTCTTGTTATAGATTCATCATCATCTGCCTCCCTAATACTCTGTCCTGTTTTCTTGATTCTCTCAGGCATGGGGGATGGTCTAGACTTCCCTGGTGCCTTAACAATCTTCATCCCACCAAGAAGAGATGCCAAACTTTCCTTTTTTTGTGCATCATTGTCAGATTCATCGTTCCTCTGAACTTGAGATGTTTGTATGGTTCTGATATATTGGGGATACAGCCTTCTCCTGCCAAAGTCAAGTTGACAATATAATTTGTCAATACCGGTATTACTTACTCTGGCAAAATATTTCAAAAAGTTCAAACATATTTATTTTATACATGTACAAATGTATGTATGGCCCATTTTAATGAATACTGTATTTGCTCTATTGGTAGCATATGTACTGACCGATTTTTCTATGGTAGAAATTTTAATGATTCAGTATGGATAGCGATTTATAGCTTCTAATGGAACAAATATGGTATCATTAAAGAATTTTTAAATGACATTTTGAAAAAAGAAGACACTGGAAAAAAATGGTCTGTTAAATTATACTGTAGAATACTTTATTTTTGCTTGGAATTAACTGTCGCTGAAGGAATGATTCAGTGAAAATACAATCCAGCGAATATACCTTTTTTCCTATATTTTACATTAAACTCATCAAAAATCAGTGAAAATAGATTCCATACAAAACACGCAAAAAGTCTTTTCAGCGAAAATTAATTCCAGCTAAAATCAAGTATTTCACAGTAACTAGTTTGCCACCAGACGATATCAGTGCCATATTTGAAATTTTCATAATCGATTTTATCGGTAAATCACCATACTCCACTGACGCAAATTGAGCCTGAGAACAATTGTTTTTTTACTGTGATCGAACCATAAGAAAAGCACTAACCGCTCTTCTACATAACATGTATGCATTTGTCACACGCAACGTAATATTACCGTAATTGGTATAGTACAGGTGTGATGGTTCAAATACCAAAATGGCAACATTAACAGAAAGACTTCCCTGGCGGCGATGATAAAATACGAACACGGAGCCAACAGATGAGGTTTCAACTGGTACTGGTATTATTATACTCTGCAAACATCAAGTACAATAACGCGGTAAAACTCCACTACTCCAATAACTAGATAATTAACCTCCAATACAATTCAACGAGATCTCCGATCTGAACTGAACAACTCCCCTATATATACCCACACTGTCTATAAATAGACCATTACATCAGCATACATAATGAGTCTGGAACTTACTACCAATTTCTAGAATGTTCCATTACCTTCTATTGCCTCCTACAGTGTTCTATTACCTATTCAACCAGTTTCTGAACAAAATCTAGAATATTCCACCCAGACACAGTACGGTTCTAGAACATTCACAGTGACACGGAAGTGGTACATAAGTCGTATACGACAGCATTTATAAAATGTCTAAAAACTGTCTAGCAGGTGTATTTGTGCAGTTTAATACATTACAAATGGCCTGGAATATGCAAGGAGTTAGAAATTTAAATATGATTGTGTCAGCCTTTAAACAAAAATCATTTGCTGTGTAACGATGGCCAATCAGTTTGCAATCCCTTTACACACATACATGTATCACCTATGTAAAAATAAACTGGCTTTAGAAAAAATCTGTTCTATTGATAAAGATTTCCCTAGAAGTTCCTATGCAAATTTTGTGTTTCTAGTCACAGATTGTGCATCAAGACGGGTAGGGCAGAAAATATTCCTAGGGAAAGAGGACTCTGCATGTGTATTGCAAACATTCTTGATACAAAGTTTAGAGAGAAAACTGTCTTTCCCCTTACTATTACAAATATCGCTTATTCATTAAAATTTATTTCACTTTTAATTTCTCATCACACATTTGTTCGATTTGCAGTCAATTCGTCCCAATTCACTTTCGTCCCACAAGTCGATTCGTCCCAATTCACATTCGTCCCACGAGTTGGTTCGTCCCAATTCACATTTGTCCTATTTCACATTCGTCCCAATTCACATTCGTTCCAATTCACATTCGTCCAATTTTTTTAATTTTTAGTCAGCATTACGATCGTGAACAGGGTCAATTTCTTTGCCAACTGCTACTGACACGCTAACTAATAACTACATGTTGCGTGAACGGTGTATTTGTATTTATTAACTAATAACTTGTACGGTGTATTTGTATTTATTTATTTATTTATTAACTAATAACTTGTACGTTGCATGTAAGGTGTATTTGTATTTATTAACTAATAACTCTACGTTGCACGTAAGGTGTATTTGTATATAACGTCGGCAAAAACAAAATGGTGCAACAAACAATTACGTATGCCAGTGCATGACGTATACGTGAGCAGTTCGTTGTTTGGATTTGTTTTTGCTTATTTGGCGAGTTAGTAGTGGGCTAACCTTAAATCTGACTAATCGACTTGTGGGACGAATCGACTTTGGGACGAATCAACTTGTGGGACGAATCGACTTTGGGACGAATTAACTTGTGGGACGAATCGACGTGGGACAAATCGACTTGGGACGAATCAACTTGTGGGACGAATTGACTTTGGAACGAATTAACTTGTGGGACGAATTAACTTGTGGGATGAATCGACTTGGGACGAATCGACTTGTGGGACGAATCGACTTGGGACGAATTAACTTGTGGGACGAATCGACTTGGGACGAATCGACTTGTGGAACGAATCGACTTGGGACGAATGTGATTTGGGACGAATCGACTTGTGGGACAAATCGACTTGGGACGAATGTGATTTGGGACAAATCGACTTGGGATGAATGTGATTTGGGACGAATCGACCGTCCCCCA